AGTGTACCTACAGCAAAATATGAAATCATGAATTCTGGTAAGTGTACAAGTGTCAGCAGGGGGAAAAGAATATTTGAAAGTTCAGGATTTTATATTCCTCTTATCACAAAATATAAATTTGAGATAATTTTAAAAATAAATGTAATAAGAATGTGTTTGGTTCCAATTTTCAGAAACGTTTTGAGTGGATAACAAAACCATTTGATAGAAATACTACCTTATTTTTATAGTTCAGTATCTTTCGTATATAGCTTTCTCATCTCTAACAGATCAATACTTGGTGTCTTACTTAAATGCATCATATTCAGAACTATTCCAGTGTGTAACAAGCTTTCATATGCAGAATTAGTGTTTATAACATTATCTTTTCAGATAATGAGAGCTGATTTAAAGTAAAAGAAAAGACAAAGCAACGATTCATCTACTTCCAATATATTTTTAGAAAAACTCGAAGCCTACTCTTAAAAATCTGCCCGTCTTTCAGCAAAAAGATACTGTTTCATAAATGTGTTGGGGCAAATTACCCTATGCCTTGGAGTCTGAATTTTATGTGTACCAGTTTACAAGGGGGAAGAATTAAAAAAAATTTCCTAATACTCAACTAGATGAGTCTCAGAGACCCGCACGCTCTATGAAATGCTTGAAGGAAAAAAAAAAAACCCAACAAACAGTTGCCATTGGCAATAGAAAGAATTGGACTTTGACCTTAAAGCTGAATTAGACCTTCTTTTTTTTGAAAGCTTATCCTTGGAGAGAAAAATAATCTGCAGGTTTGAATAAATGCAGTTAGTAGGATGTAGAAACTACAATAGCACGAACATCCTTTCTCAAAGCAAAGAATGGGAAGAATTGACAAGCCAATGTAAACAATAGAGTGAAAAGATCAATGCAGGGAAAGTCAGCTCTTTTTGAAGAAATGGAGCTGAATACCTCTGTAACCTGTCAGTTTGCTGGGCTCCAATCGTATTTATTCTACTGTTAAAAAGAAGAGAGAGAAGTGGAAAGGGTGGGTGGGGGAAGCAGCGGCTCAGGGGGAAAAAAAAAAAAATGAAACTCCCAAGCTAATATTTGTGTAGAGTTATGGTATGGCACAGCTGATGGCTTCTTTTAGCTAGAAATGAAGGCCACCTGCCTTAGTGACTAGTAGTGATCTGTCCTCATGTCTGGAGTTTTGGGTCAGCGCCTGCCACGTATGTGCAGCCTAAATCTGCGTTATTGCCTCCGGCCTCTGGGATTTCAGTTGCTAGAAGAAAACCGAAGTTGCGTAGCAGAAGCAGAGCCACTAATGAATTGTGGATGCAGTAGCATAGAGTGTATGTTGCACATATGGCAAGCTACCTGTGCGTGCTACGTTTACCACTCCAGCCCAGCTAGACTTTGTGTATTGTGCTCGGGGCATATGCTGTGGTTCTGATGTGCCCCAGTTCGGCTGGATTTGCTGCACACGTGTTGCAGGCAAAAGCTTGGTAGAAAAATGGAAGCCCTACCCCTTTGCATATACGTGTTCGTGTCTGTATCTCTCTTTCAAAAAAACCTTGTGATAAATGTTGATGTAGATACATCATTTTAATAATTTCTTTGCCTTTATAAAGGACTCGGGTACAGGGATCTCTCATCCTTTGCTAAAGGATGAGACTGATTTAAAGTCAAGACTGATTTATTCCAATCCTTGGAAAAAAGTGTTTTTCTAAACTCTTCAGAATGAGGAGCGAAAGTAAGGACAGTTGGATGTGGTCATATAGGGGAAGGAGGGAGTTCTGAATTTTTTTAGCCTTGTTGAGGAGGTGAATGAAGGTATCGGTCAGTTCTGAGTGGTGTGGGTTTTGCTGGTTTTTCATGACCTTAGCCAGAAACGTGTCTGATAAGACTGACTTTCCAGAATTGCTGATTTCTACTAGGATCAGGTATTTTACAGTTGTATCTTTTTTGTGTGGTGTTTTCTTTAAGCATTTAGAGAAGATAGTTACTGAGTGCAGCTTGACTCTTGGTGAGAGCTTCAAAAACCAAAAATTTCTCTCTCAACTTATTCCTATGGTGAACCTGAATACTTTTAAAATTGAGCCAGAGCAGAAAATACTTTAAAAAGAATTTTCCATGGCGTGTCTGTACACCTGTCTTAAAGTATTTAACTGTTTCTGCTGTGAGAAGGGAAAAAAGATGAAGTAGACATTTTCCAGTCAAGATAGCAATGCATAATGATTCTTTCCTGCAAACTGAAAAAATCTTCTCTTTATTATTTCTTGGTGAGGTCTGTTAATAACCTTTTATGAAAAACTTTCATAGTATGCTTATAGTACTTCTTGAATAGATGTGGCTGGACAACTGTAGGTTTTATTCCTGCAAAATCTTGTGCTGAAACATGAGATTGTTCTTGGTAGTTTTGGCCAGAAGTCAAGTGGCTAACAGCAGTTGCCAAAGCGAAAAATAGGAACATTGCAACATTTTCCTGAAGCTTAAGTGTCTATAATATATGGCTCAAATATTCCTGAAATAGATGTTTTCTAGACATAACAGACTTTCATGATACTCTGTTACAAGAATTCTTCCTATTTCTGAATCCAAATACACCTTTTTTTATCTTCTGTGTTGCACAGCAAGTAGTTAACAGCTTAGCTACATATGGTGTAAAACAGTATCTACTGTGGTTTATTTTGAATGAGGTCCTATTCTCATCAGTGCTTGTAGGAAGTATAAACAGTGAAACAATTTTCTATTTAAGTGAAACAAAAAAGTGGACAACTTTATCAATCTTGGCATATTGGTGGTTTTCTTTCTTCTAGGGTTCTTCAGTCTGCTCTGGTTTTCAGAGAAAGGATGGTCACTTCTTACCTTCGGTTGTTCACATTGCTTGTCTCTCTACTTTTCAAGTTTTTTCTGTTGTATCCTGTTGAGTAAGGGAGGCAGAGTTGCACATTGCTTCCTCACTTGATGGATTTTGGAGGTGAGGGAAAGTCAAGTCTTAAAGGCCCATACTGTATTTGAGTTTTTTTTTTTTTTTAAATACAGTAAAATAACAAAATCTTAGCATAACAATTTTGGAGGCAGAACACTAGTTAAGATATTAGTATGTGTAACTAATATTGGGGAAAAAAGCTGTAATGTGAAATTGAAATTGTTACATGAAAATCTCCTTTTACTGTATTTCTCATGCTAGTTCTGCTGCAGTTTTGCAGATGTGACTTGAATAGCTTCTAGAATGAAACCCTTCTCTGTCCTCTGCTGTATAAAAGCTCTTGTTTTCTCTCCCTCAAGCCCCTGGTAAGGAGGCCTGTTAATATGGGGGAGGAGAAAGAAAAAGAAAACCAAACCAAGGACACTCCCCCCAACCAAGACAAAACCCAGAGAAACGAAACAAAACAACCCCCCCCCAATATCTTCTTAAGCCTACTGGGAGGTGGAGGGAAAATTTTTGCTATGGAAAGAAATTCTTGGGCAATAAAATTTTGTCTGATTTCCTTTTATATTTAATAGAACATAGAAAAGGAGAGCATTATTAATTGTAACATAAAGACATGATAATACTGTCTTAATTTTATATTTTGGAAGGGATTGTAAATCGTACTTTGGCTTTTCTGTTATTTGATGTTTCAACTGATAAACAGAACTTTTTCACTTACACAAATACATCCTCATGTATGACATATAAAATGTGACCTTATTAATTTAGTTTGAGCCCAGTTTTAAATGTTGTTATTTGCAATTAATTGATAAACTATGTTATCTAAGATTTAAACAAAAAAACATCCCCCCCAGTCCCCCACATGGGCTGATGATGAATCTTCCCAAAATCAGGAGGTGACTTTATTCCTGATGCTTATACCATAAATCTTAATTTGGAGTTTTCTTTATTAATTATTTTTCAGTGATGTTATTACCTGGTGCCTAATTATAAAGATAATTGGGGAGTGTTTGCCCAACAGCACTGGAATTGAATGCAGATGTTACTATAGCTGAGCCACAGAAATTAGCGGTTTTCCATCTTCTCACCTGCTTTCTTTTACCTTTTATAGCTTGCAAATCTATCTCTGCCAATTGATTGCTGGATTTCTACTTGCATGTTTCATGTGGAGGGTTGGAATTACAATGATAAGCCATGGGGTATTATTGTTAGTGCACAGAAAGGAGGGATGGCTGTCCCGGGAGAAATGTGGATGTGTACAGGGCAGTTAGTATGGACGTGCCTTGCTTTGTTGAATGTATTTAATGGCTGTTGCTAAATGAGATGCAGCTACTGATTTTTAGTTTGTTGTTTTGACTCTTACTATATTGTGAAATTGGTTTGCGTGTTGGAATTGTGTGGAATTGGAAGCTTGATGTGGTTTTATGCTGCTTAAACAACTAGCCTACAAGAGTGATCCATAACTAATCATTCAAGTAATAGCCCATGGTAGTCTTAATCTGCATCTTAAACAGATTTTTTTTTTTTTCTTTCATTTCAAACTCAATATTTAGAGGCTGTTTCACTGTGGAAGTTTGTAGTCAGAAAACCACATTAAACTTAATTGAAAAGATTAGTACAGCAGGGCATATCTTGTTTTGGCTCAGTACAAGGATTTGTGCTAAAATGTGAAAAACGATATTTTTTTAAGCTGTGAAGATCACAGGCTTTTACTCATTTCAGTCTTCCGTGACAGCATATGAAGTCAGAATACTTACTGTGAAACGATAAAAATTCTTAAAGCATGTAGTGGGTCCCCCGACCCCCTCCTTTTTTTTGTTTTTAAAGGTATGGTCAGTAAGAAAGTACTAATTTTTGTTTTAGTGGATCTTTAATGGTATATTCAGAATATGTGTTTGTACAGATAATATCCTACAGGCAAAATCACAGTTGTATAGCTTCATTAAGAAGTGATAAATATTAAAGAATTTATACTGTAATTGAATGACATGCTTATTATGAATTAATTGAAATACTTGCATATGCTTCGTATTCCATTAATAGAAAGCCATCACAATTTAAAAAAAAAAAATTGTGTAAAGCTTTTCTCTTGTTATACCAGTTACAAGCAAGGGATGCTGAAAATTATTCCTTGGAATGAGCAGAAACATCGTGAAGAAGACTGGTGTGAAAAAGCAGAATGCAGGTAAGTATATAGAAAAAGCAAAATGTTTTTTTATATTTATGTACTTTTCAGATAAAGAATTTATTTACTAATTCTTAAAATGTGGGTAATATGCAGTAAGACTCGCTTCTTATTTTTGTGCACACTAACTTGTGTTTTCGGCTCTCAGTGAGACTGAGCAAACACTCTTTACAGCGTTATGTTCAGTGTGATTATGTGATGAGCAGCATTCACAAATGCATGTGAGCTGGGGGGAGGTTGCTGTTGGAAATCCTGATTTTTTTTTTTTTTTTTTTTTTCTTCCTTCTGCCGCATTACTTGTCAACCATAACACTACCATAGCAGCATTAATGGATCACAAAACTGTGATCACTCGCTGTGTGAGGAACAGATGGAAAGCAGAGTTTGGGCACAGCTCTGTCTTTAGTAGGGAGGATTCTTTCTTTCATGATCTATCTCCTTTTTGGAACCTTTTACTAGTTACTTTGCTGACAAAAATTAGCACTTACTATGATTGGCATTTGACTCTCATGTAATTATTGGTGTAATGGTAGCCTGGTTGTACCATTTTCTTTCAGAACAACCAGAAGTTTTAAGAAAAAGGCTAAGTGAAAAAAAATGTAAGCAAATGTATACTTAAACATGTACTTACTTTTTTTTAAAGGATGATTGTTGAACCAGCTTTACAAGATGAGGGCGAATTTCTGTATGAAAAGCAACGTGAGTTACTGAAGTACAGGACTACTGACCTTTCAGTAGATCTCGTTACTGATTGGTATTTGAGCAGAGCACAGGAAATTGAAAAATATGCGATGCAGGTGAGAATAGCAGTGAGGAAATGATGGGGGCCGACTCGGGCTGATCAGCCTTCTTCAACAGAATCCTGTCTTAATACGTATTGATGAGACACTTTTCCCTCAGTAATATGCACTGTGTCTCAATATTCGTTATGGCTTTTGATGTATTTGGTTTTCCTTTTGCAGTGTACTTATGCTTGCTCTAAAGTTTACTCAGCCAAATAACTGACCTGTAGGAGTGAATAGGAAGCCAGTAGATTCCCTTTCACTTGGCTTGCCGTAGCAGAGAGTAGCGCTTGTGTAGTCCATGACAAATGTTTACCATTACATTTTATGTTTGTAGCTAAGGGAGGGAATGTTGTGCACAGGGTATCAGGAAACATGTTTTATTATCTGTCGTATGACACTGTGCCGTATAAATCGATATGTGGCAGTCACACATGTTATTCATACAGCAATATTTAATACTGTCATGACGTCTTCCTGGTGGGTTTATTGTGTCTTTGTGGGACTACCACACAACTTATTTTTGCTTTATTTTCTTCATATTTTAAAAACATTTGAAGCTCTATGTGGTAGAGATAAGCATTTCAAGTAAGAATAGAACTCATCACTGATGTGCTCCGGTATTTTATTGCTTCTCAAGCCAATTTAGCTGCATGAAAAGGAGGTTGACTGGAAGTAACACTATGAGTTAGTTCTGATGGGCGAGCTCTTTCATTCTTCAAGTTTGCAGTCCTCCAAGGCTCTTTAATCATAGTTCCCTGTGATCTTAACAGCCTATCAGTGGGTATGGAAATAAAAGCAACTTCCAAGGATCAATTAAATTACTAACATATAAATGAAATTGCGTTCTACTCTTCCAGACTTATGTCTGCCTCACTGAATACGTACAGCCAATATTGCATTCTTTGAAATTGAAACCGAATCTTTCATGTAAAGGTATTTTCAGTCATCAGGGAAAAAGGCTGTCATCATCTTTGGTGAAATAAAATACAACAATTAAAATAATTAATTAATGGTCAGCTAGAAAAGTCATGTTACATGCAGAGGTATGCATAACTGATTATCATAGTTTAAAGCAATCCTTTATATTCTATGCAGTTAGATGAGGTGATGTATCTCTGTGTGTGATCTCCAGAAGAAATAAAAAATAGCATTCTCCTAGTTTACATGCATCAATAGATGCATCTGGGTCAAAAGACCTATAATTACATCATCCGCTAAGATTAAGCATTTTATTTGGTCTATTCCACTTGGGAACATAAAGGCCACAAAAACTTCTAGGAACCAAGAATTCCCTATTAAGTAAAAGGAACAGGGAGAGAAAATAGACACACAAATGGGACACAGATTGGACTTGAAGTTGTTTTTTGGCAAACAGTTGTACAGCAGGGGTTTTTATGATTTTTCAGGTGGACTGTGCGCTGTCCCTTGTTCGTCTTGGCATGGAGAGGAATATTCCTGGTCTGCAGGTGCTTTGTGACAATCTGATCACTCTTGAGACAGTAGTTTATGAGACAGACGGTGATCGAACCTTAACTTTGAAGGAACTTGTAGAGATGAAAGACATTGAAAAGCTGAGACTGTTGATGAAGAATGTAAGTATTTTTAATAAATCAGTAAGTGTACTTTGATTTACATAATTCGGGTTACCCTAGATCCTATGCATATAAAGATACTGTTAGTGGCTGACATTTTTCTGATGAACCTCCATCTTTAATTCAACAAGAATTCAACACTTCTACTGTTCTTTTTTTTGTTGTGGTGTTTTTTCTTTGCTGATTTGCTTTTAACAAAAGCTAAAATGGCTCAATTTTCTCCAAGACCTGTTTCTTCATCCTAGGCACAGGACTAAACATTCATAAATCCAGTCTTTTGGAAGCTGTAAATTGCTTTTTCATTGGCCCTTTCTAAAGGATCTTTAGTGTAGCTGTTGGCGGTGCTGCAGATATAACAACACTGAATGTTTTCCTTGGATGTTTTTTGGTGTCTTTTAAATATTGGCAAAAAAATCTTAGTATTTGCCTCTGCAGCATATATGAGTTTTTCATTTTCTCTGTGTTCAGCCTGCGCATGGATTTCAGCATAGAAAAAGACCTTTGGGAAAGGTTGAAAAATTCTTAGAGATGGAATGGGGCTCTGAAATTCAATCGAAGAATGCGTAAGCACCAGAGGAGAATACTCATGCACTTGAAGCTCTTC